CCCCCTGCTGTTTTCTCTCTTGCCTTTTTTGCCCCGCCCACCAGAGATGTAAAGGTGAAGCATGTCGTTTCAGCGCACCAGTGATGTCGCTCAGAGTTGTGAGAATTTGTTCAACACTTCTCAAAATGGGTGCAGAACCTACACTCCTTTTTAAGACGGAGCATGATGAAACAAGTCTGTGCATGCGCCATGCATAACGATAAATATGTCTGTTGACAGTAAATATTTCTACATCTGTTGTACTAAGTATACTGAGGATTAAAGGGGACTGTACTAAAGCATTAAAAATACCGTAATATGTTTGCAGATAGTTAGGAAACTTGCTAAGTTCACATACTTGTTTCTCTGAAAAACAATGCTACCGCCCGTTATTCTACTTTGGAATGTGTGTTCTGTGTCAGAATGTCTGTTTTTGTTTTGATCTGTCTGATTCCGCACACTGCTAATTTACACAGTAGTATTTCGACACCCCGGGTTGCCAGTTGGTGGAAAACACAGCATATGGCAGCCATGGAAGTGAGCAAATGAACTGAGCCAGAAATCACAGATTCTTCCCGACCTGAAAAACCTCGGCATCCATCTAAAATTCTCTATGACCACAAGCATATTACAATGCGGATTAATCCCATCATTTTACTAATTGCAGCTCATCACCTCCCATTGTCCATTGCGCTCATTCCTGTTGTGTGTCATCAATCTGGCAACCTGCGTGAGCATCGACTCTTGGGGAGGATGAGGGGGCGGGAGAAACGACGTATAAGGCATATAAGGATGTATAAGACTGGTCAGGAAGTTACATAAAAATGTAGATTGGTCTAAAATAAAATAATTATCATTAGCCCTTGGCGAACTGCTAGTTGGTCAGACTAATTCTTCAGACACAGAATTAATTTTATATAACTGGCCCGTGGAGAGATAGCGCAGACACTGGACAAAGATGAAACTTCGTAGTGCACATGTGTCGACTGCGAGTGTTTACGTACGTTATAAAATGGTTTATACTTTGAAAGGCTATGCGTTCGGCTGAAGTGTTAGCATCAAAACTAAAGTATACTTTGGGCTCTGCTTGTCGCACTGTGGAATTCTTATTACTATGAGAAGCTGATTCAGGATATGTGACCCAAAAGGTTATTTTTGTTTGTTTTTTTTGCAGAAACCTATGACCCATAAGGGCAGATTTTTCTAAAAATAATGACACCACAATAGTAGACCAACATAAAATGTAATTACTTCAAAAAAATAGCACAGGAGTCTCTACTACTGGTTCTACAGGAAACAGTGAATCAACTGCTAAAAATGTGCATAGACTTAAAAAGAAGACCGATTATTTCACAGACAACTCAGTCGGAGCTACACATGCACTTGACAGAATATTGGTTTTACCCCATCAAATGAGGTGTGGGTTCCCAGCTGTGGGGAATATGCAACACCAACCAATTTAAAGTGCTGCGCACAAGCAGTCAGTGAGATAGATGATCTGTGTGGTTTGGGCTTGAATGGCGCTGCTGAGGTGTTGTGTGTCTGTCCAGCATGTGTGTAGCATCTGCTGTGTTCGCTCACTGGAGACACTATTAACTTTCTTCTCTACTCCTCAAGCTAGTTTACACATCCTTTGTGTATTATATAAAGAAACCCTTCAGTTTAAACTTCCTCTCAGGATCGAGGGTAAATGAGAAGCAGCAATAGCTAGCTGGGCTGCGAATTCATCATCTTAATGTAATGTCACCTCTAGCGTTGACTGAAGTGTCGGAGTTGTTTTAAAGTCATTGCACTAGGGTGTTGTTGGCACTGCAGGGTGTTGCTATACATTTGCTAAGATTTTCAAAAAAAATTTTTAGGGCATTGCTGTGTGATGGTTGAGTAGTCAACTGTCTAGTTGCTTATTGTTCAGCTGATCCCATCTCGAGTCTCTGTGAGATTCTAGATATGGCTCAGGTTGCTCCTTCAAAGTCTATCAAATTTTGATCACCATTTAATCGCATGCAAGATGTAAAAAAAGAAGAAAAAAAACATTGGCAAAGTTAGAAAAGTAACAGCATACCTCTCCTGAACAAGCGGTAGGATTGAGGTTTTGTGTAGAGTCGTGAGTGTATCAAATAAAAGCTATTTTTAATAAATGGCTCCTGATTATGGCCGTCGTCTCTGTTTTGCAATCAAAAGCCCAGAATCTATAATCGGCACTGTAGTGTGTCACAATAGCCAAGTACAGTGCGATTATGAAAGAGTCTTTTTCCGTTGTCTAATGGGTGGCATTGGCAGCACTCGCAGAGAGATGCTGCTGAATGGAGAAGTCATTTCGCCAAGCATTGCATACGTAGTGGCATGGTTGCCATGGCAACAGGAAAGAAATAGTCCCAATTGTCCAGGTTCCGCTTACTGTGTCTGAACCTCGGTGACTCAGTTGTGTTTTTCTATCGCCGTGTGTGGGCGGTAGTTACGCCGTTTAAAAGAGCAACAGCTCCTTAACTAGAACACCTCCGCCGGCTGGGATCACAATCTCGACCATCGGGGTTACATATGAAGACCAACAGGAATAAAAATAAAAATAAACGACCACAAAATGGCGCAAGTTTGCTATGTCACAAATCAAAAAATGTTTTAATGCTGCTAGTGGTTGAAAAATATCCAGATGGGTGGATTTTTTTTCCCACAATGTAGCAAAAATGTTTAAAATGTGATCAAATGACAGAAATATCAACATTTTAAAGTGAGACGAATCAAATAATATCACACATTTAAAGCCCATTGCATGAGCGTTTTGCTCCAGGTGGGGTTAACACAGGTGTCTGGGCTAAAGCTGCCACTGGCCTGAAGCCACCCGGACCTGAAAGAGCAGCTTTGTGTGAGTAACACAAGCCCCCTGTGTCCCCTCACACCACGCCCAGCTTGCCCAGGTTATGCTCACGGCTCCACGTCTGCTGTCATGTCCGCAGCTGTGGCTCTGGCTCGCGACGGCTTCAGCATATGGTGCGTCAGCGGAGACAGACGTAAATATTAGCCGCTGTCTTCTCAGACTTGTGGCTCAACCAGAATGCACTGCTGGACAACACTGACATTAAATAAAAAGAAAGTAAAACAGAGGCAGCCTTCATAACTTGGAAAATATAGCATGCTTTGAGGGTATTGCTGTAGCATTGGTTCGGTGAAAAATTGACACTTAAGGTTTTGTGGTCCAGGGTCACACATACACACACACAATTCATATAATTTTACCTCTATTTTTAAAGTCATATCACATCAACCTGATATGTATTTTTGTATTCATGTATTGTATAGAATTTTGTTATACATTTAATTATTTAAATACACTATTATTATTATTATTATTATTATTATTATTATATATATATAATTTATATGTATAAAACATTTTAATGTTAAAATTATAAAATATATAATTAAAATAAAATTAAAATTATAAAATGTATAAATTGCTAATACCGATCTTTTTAAAGCCTTCTTTTTATCATGTAGAATTATTTATAGTGATACTCAAATCAGGATTTTTAGACATTTACTCGGGGCCTTAATTTCATTTTTGAAAATGGGGGGAATTCCCCTCTTAGGTGTCTCTTGTTGGGGGGATTTTTTTATTTGAGGGGTGGAGCAGCATTTTTTTGATATTTTTCAAATATATATATTTATCTGACCTAAATGTTTGACCATGCAGTGCAAAATCAGGATTTTTAGACATTTACTCGGGGCCTTAATTTCATTTTTGAAAATGGGGGGAATTCCCCTCTTAGGTGTCTCTTGTTGGGGGGATTTTTTTATTTGAGGGGTGGAGCAGCATTTTTTTTTATATTTTTCAAATATATATATTTATCTGACCTAAATGTTTGACCATGCAGTGCATTTTTGTTTTTACAATTGTGAAATTGTTGCACAATAACTTTCACACAGCACAAGCCTGATTTCGTGAGCTGTATGTGAGGCGGCCTTTTACACCAGGTTCACACATACTCCGCTTGCAGTGCGTATGCAGTCCGTGTGCGGTACGTAAGCAGTGCAGAAGCAGCACAGACTGTACTTTCACACAGGAATCTGCTTCTGATCCGTGGCTGTTTACCACAAACACAACATTTATCCATTATTTTGATTTCAAATCCAAACATTGATAGTGAATTTGCTTTTTCAGCATTGTGATTCTTTTTTTACACAGTACAGTAATGCAATCTATTAAATTACAATCTTACAATTAAAACAATCTATTATTGCTCATCTAAAAGTGCTCTTTTCCTTTAAACCTAGCCAAAAAGTCATGTGTTGACTGTGAAACACAGTAGACTTTCATCATGTGCATTTATGTTGTAATTACTACATTTGCATGTCAATCCAAGTTCATATTTACCGCAAACCAATGCGCTGTCACTTTAATTCAGCACGTGTAGCGCAGCAATAGACTTGGTGCGGAAACGATCTCCGCTCTGCTGCAGACGCACCACTACTGGAACACACTGCCGGACCACAACCGTGTGCAGTGTGAACGCTTTATAAACCAGGTTTATATCTGAGAGCGCGCGTCCGGCTTTGTGCGAGAGCAAAGGAAATCCACGTGCGAGCGGCTGAATGGTTAAACACAAGAATTAAAAAAATACAATTTATAAACTTTAATGACGATGCGACACTGCCCCGGTTGTGCTAAAGTGATTATTCCTGTGTCAGCTGTGCAGCGTGCAGCTCGCTTATAGTGCAGACACGATGTGATCTGAGGCAATTTGCGCATTTTGAGAGAGAGAGAGAGAGCGCGCGCGGTGATTAGATTCACTCACGCTGTTTGTGAAATTATGTCTCGCATAAGGTTTTCAAATTACTTTAATTCAAGTTATTTAATGAAGAAATATGAATTGTACCTCACCTTCAGCATTATAATTATTGTACCCACGCCGGACAGAGACTGAGACGGTGCCGCTGCATGTCGGGCCAAACCTCTGACGGCAGACATCAGCTTGAGATCAGCCTTTTTAGAGCCCGCTGATCAATCATCCCAAAGCGATTATCGTCCGATAGTGATCGGTAGCCGATCAATCGAAGCACCCTATTTATATCGGTCATCAGCTGTAATATAAAAATTAATCAGTTATCGGTGGTGTGTAAAATTTCTATTTGCTATCTTTGTTTGCTATTTATAATTGCAGACCAAAGGACCATGTTGACAACAGCAAACCCCTAGAACATCTATTCTGAATCATCAAGCCTTCAAACCTCTAGCCCATTACGTTTAAAACAGACCTCCACCTGACCAGAGTGATAATACTCAGCACGGGCTCATGTTAGCCTGGCAGAAAGGCTTTTAGCGAGATAAAAACAGACACTGCTAATAGATGTCTGAGTGCAGTCTCTGCTCAATCTTGGTGCCCATTAGCAAGATAATAGCATCTTTCAGCAGAATGCAGCTCTGCAATTAAACACGACGGCCTTGAGAGAAGTGCACTGATCTGACTGAGGCTCTGCGTGTCAGCATTAAGCTTCTGCCTTTACACATTTATTGCATAAACCATTTTCGTCCGTCTCGGCTCTTAGATGCACACAAAGGAGAGGGTTAAGGAGATGAATGGCGACTAGGCTGCTGGACGAAAGGTCATGCCCTCAGCGCAGAGTAAAAACGGCACTTCCTGCTGTGGTAAATGCCAGTCTGCTGCTCTGGTCATGCTGTTAAAAAAAGAAGCATATGTTCAATGAAAAAAGGGGGTGTTTTTTTGAGCACAACAACAAAAATATAATTGAATGGATATAGAGGAAATAGAAACGGGCTTCGGCCCTGACACCAGAACCAATTATGTTGCTAGCAGACCTATTTCTGGATTGACGGGTACAGAAATGCATTTGAAAACCTACAATTTGGCTCTTTGCTTAATGATTCATCACAGCTATACTGTATATAGTCTAGTATACAATGAACTCATAGACATCAATGATTCTTGGAAGGGATAGAAACAGAACTTAGCAGTTTCTTAAATATCTGCAAATATATCTGTTGTGAGGTTCGAACTGAAGATTGTAAAATCCCAATTTTAAGCCAAAATATGTGGGAGGACAAGTGAAATTTTCAACAAAGTCCACAGGGGGAAAAATCTAGTCAGACATAACACCATGTACTGATTGATGCTACAAGCCTCCAGCAGCAAGCAGTTTGTCTCTCCACACTGAACGTAAAAAAATCGAACGTGAAAATCTGAACTGAACTATGACTCCAAAAGTGTCAACATGAATGATATACCCCAGCCAAACATTTTACCATATGCTTCCTCAACCCCTAATTCACATACTTGTTTCTCAGAAAAACAATGCTACAGCCCGTTATTCTACTTTGGAATGTGTGTTCCGTGTCGGAATGTCTGTGTTTTGGTCAGTGTGATTCCGCACGCCAGAATTTACCCAATAGTATTTCAACACTGTGGGTTGCCAGTTGGTGGAGAAAACAGCATATTGCAGCTATGAAAGCCAAAAAAATGAGTCCGCGATCCCAAACCTCCTCCTGACCAAACTAACTCAGCTCTCCGTGCCCACCTCCGTCTGTCAGTGGATCACCAGCTTCCTGACAGACAGACAGCAGCTAGTGAGGCTGGGAAAATACACATCAAGCACCCGAAAGATCAGCACTGGAGCTCCTCATAGTTGTGTCCTCTCCCCACTGCTCTTCTCCTTCTATACCAACGACTGCACATCTAAAGTCCCCTCTGTCAAGCTCCTGAAGTTTGCAGACGACTCCACACTTATCGGCCTCATTCAGGACGGAGACGAGTCTGCTTAAAGACAGGAGGTTAAAGAGCTGGCTGTCTGGTGCAGTCTCAACAACCTGGAGCTCAACACGCTCAAAACTGTGGAGATGACCGTGGACTTCAGGAGAAACTCCCCTGCACTCCCCCCACTCACCATCATGGACAGCACTGTGACTGCAGTGGAGTCATTCAAGTTCCTGGGCACCACTATCTCTCAGGACCTGAAGTGGGACACTCACATTGACTCCATTGTTAAAAAGGCCCAGCAGAGGTTGTACTTTCTTCGCCAGCTGAGGAAGTTCAACCTGCCACAGGAGCTGAAACAGTTGTACTCCGCCATCACTGAATCCGTCCTCTGCACTTCTATAACTGTCTGGTTCAGCTCCGCTACCAAATCTGACCTCAGGGTCTTGATAATACATATTTTTGATGAATGACGTAATTAAATAATATATTTGTTAATTGAAGTTGTCAGTTTGAACTGATTCATGTAAATAAAGAAATATATATATATATTAGGCCTATATATAATTTTTGCTACTGAATTTTAAATTGAATACTAACATCTTTCATAATGTTCTTATACTTGCAAATTCATGAAACGAGGGTGGAACGTTAAAGGATTGAGTCTTTAGGAAACTTAATATAAAACATGCTAAAATCATTAATATTCACTCCCCATCACCTCTAATTTTATGCTGATACTAAAATCATGATGAATAATCCATATGTTGGCCAGACCTAACTGTATCTTGGTACTGCTTTGGTGAATTAAAATTACAGGGAGTTTATGAACACGCCCTAAGGATTTTGGGACCCCCTGTTGGTCAAAAATTTTAAATATTGGTAGAATAATAATTTTTTCTGTGGACCTGCTTAAATGAATGATTCTGCCACTGTTAGCTTAACCCTGTAATTTTGTTGTTGATCATCCAACCTTGTTTTTTTCCCTCATTATTGTGTGTGTGTGTGTGTGTAAATTCCTGTATCATCTATGTAGTAACGCTTTCTTTCTGTCTTTTTTTTACAGTGATCTTGTTTTGTATGGCCGCCCTCATATTCCCAATAGGATTCTACATCAATGAAGTAGGGGGACAACCATACAAATTACCCAACAACACAGTGGTGGGCTCCTCTTATGTACTGTTCGTGCTCTCCATCTTCTTCACAATAGTGGGGCTCCTGTTTGCGGGAAAAGTCTGTCTTCCTGGCTGAGGGGACGTTCGCAGCAGGGACAGCTGGGGTGTTCAAAGTGAGACGGAAAGAAACGGCACTCATCGAGAAGGGCCAACGACAGGGGGTGGTGGTATATGGTAATAACTCATTAAACTGCGAAACTAAACAGACAATTACTGCACACACTACATACGAGTGCTCCCCTCCGCCCAACCCAAGCTTTGTTAAACCCGTGCTGTCTTTATGTTGCGCCTTTGAGTTTCAACCCAAAGGATCAAGGCTTTGGAGTACACGCAGGCCCGTCCGGAAAGGACAGAGCACATCCACAGTGACTGCTTTCAGTACTACTTTACTTTCATCATATAGATAGATGATAGATAGATAGAAATCATCATATACTGGTGCATGTCAATAAATTAGAATGTTGTGGAAAATGTTGTTTTGGCTCACATTTAACAAAAACCCACCAATTCACTATCTCAACAAATTAGAATACTTCATAAGACCAATAAAAAAAACAT